TCCTTGAAAAAAAAGTCTATGAACAAGCTAATTAATATCCGTATGATCAATGTATGAAATTAGACATAAACTGTAATTCAAAGCACTATTTTATACAGGAAACTATATGTAGTTACACTCTGGAACAATTTAAAACACTGAAAAATTCTTACTTCTACATGAATTTTTTATCCTTTAGTACATTTGAATCAGAAGGAAATTCTTAACTTGAGTGATTGATTTCTGCTTTTATACCTTCTTCCTGATGCGGATATGAGAATAAGGTATAAATTCTGGTCTCTTGCCATGTGATTCATCCATCTTCTCATAGATACGTGTCAGGATGCACACTGGGATACCCAGGAAGAAGGAGATGCTATTCCATTTTCCAATTTCTGAAAAAAGGGTTTTGCACTAGGTTTACTTACATTTTGTGTTAACATAATCAGAGATTTTCTTACTAATTTCATGAATTTTGATTTTAAAGTATAAAGATTGTAGTTTATTTCATCATTTGAATTAAAACAATTCTTATTTCTACTTGGTAAATTTTGTCAGCTTTTAACTTAAATTGTAAGAAAGATGACTATGAAATACTTGTTCATCAGTTTTTCAAAAAACTTTAATATCATTATATGACCAGTAAAATACAGACCCCTCATTTTGAATATCTGCCAAAGTTTAACACATCCAAGATCACGAACATAGAATATTCAATTAAGGAATGTTTTTAAATTTTGTGTGAGTTATTGGTGTGTAAATCACACAGACTTGCATGTAGGCATATTTTTCATGAAGCGCTAGCACGCTTCATGAAATATGCCTACGTGACAAGTCTGTGTGAGTTACACATCAATAATTCACACAAAACTTAAAACATTCCTTACATTTACATTTCACTTGTTCAAAAGCACCAAAAATATACTCAATATTTGAATTATTCGCTGCCCTATATTGTTACATTTTTATTAACGTCTCTGTAGTTCATTGTGACATCACTTTAGCGTGAGTTTCTCCGAGCATATTTCTAGTATACACAAAAATGGCCTCCAAATCAATTTCACAGTTGGCTTAAAAGAAAAACATAGCAAATGTAAATATTCGTATATATTTTTTCCTGAAACTAAGGTCAACACTAAAATTCACCCCCATGTACTTGCAATATTGGAGCAGGTAACTCCAATGTCAAAAAAAAGTTTCTTATATGATTAATTTGGCAACTATTTTCCATACAATGTTCTTTCAAACTACTTACTCCTGGCATTAATTCTGTATGGGACATATTCTAACTACAGTGGGGGTCTGTCATAAGATACGTGTTTTTAGAACTATAAATACTCTTCTATATTTAGGGTTGGATACCCGTACTCGGTACCAATACCGTACCGAATAGTTATTTAAAAAATACCGGTAAAATACCGTTTCATTTAATACCGGTACTAATAACGGTACTTCTTAATCTTTAAAACATTTTAATACATTCAATTTGATTTAAAAAAAAAAAAAAAAACGATTCCAAACTTGCTAAAATCGAATTCTCCGCTCTTTGAAAGGGTAAGCTAATTACATGTAACGAAATGGATTCTTAGAACGATACTTACTTTCGACTGCCGATATTCGAGGTAAATCAATACGTATATCTTTTTTTTTTTTTTAAAAATTAAAATACATTCACATGAATCTTATTTTAATTTTACAAATAAAAACTGATAATAAATGTAAATTAAAAAGGCAAAATGTCGCAAAAATGTGATCTATCCATTATCTACTGTTTCATCATTTAGTGCGACCAAAAAAAAGGGATCCTGTCACCTGGATGAAGCAGTCAGCCGATTTGTGCAAATTAATTTGTTTGGGATTCAATTGATTTGTTTTGTTGATCATTATTAAAAGGTTGAAATAAAATGTTTGTAATTTGAATATTAGGAACATCTATTGTTATCTCTTAAAAGCATGGAACATAGTTTATATGCTCATTTTAGATTATATCATTGAAAGGTTAGTGAATGGTGAAAGCACATTTGTTATAAAATGAACCCTCATTCTCATTCATCAATGCATACATGTAGTACCGTATCGTTAAAAATACCGTATCATTTCAAAAATACCGGTATGGTATCATACCGCTTCATCCTTAATGGTATCCAACCCTATCTATATTATTATCAAACTTTTGTCAGTTGTCACTCTTAGGGGTTAAAGATGTGAGGAAATTCATTAACTGAGATTTTTATTTTTTAATATTTATCAAAAATTATAGTCAGAATGAACCCTGCTCGCTATAATGTGATGAAAATCAAAATTAGATACCTTATTTTAGATACCTTATTATTTTTTTTTTTAGATTTATAATTTCAGGAATGTTCCAGCTCTTTATGACGGTCCGAATTTGCTCCCTGACAATTACTTCATACCTTTTATTAGCATGTTTCTTCATCGAAGTACTTTTATAAAAACGCATGCTTTATCTACATAGTTTATACATTATTTAATTTTTGATATACAATGAAAAATGCAGTCTAGAACAACACCGGGGAAGTAGAGGAGGCTTGACCTTGGGAGGAAAGTCATAAATTCTGTCAAAAACTTCATAAGACTTAATTCCATACCATTGTGTGGATCTCTCCCAGCTTTTTTGGGAAGAAAAACTTCTGATTTTTTCACATTTGGGTCCACTTCAGTAGCAAACCGTCTTGCAAGTGGCCTACAAACACCAGTGGTCCTTCTCAGAACCTGCGCCATCTTTTTCAAGCGACCCTAACAAATATTATTTACATAACGATCCCGATCAGAAAAAAACGGAAAGAGGTTGCGAATTTCTTTATAGTTATGTCTCTGGTTAAATTGAATGTATCATATTATAATATTATGTTTACAAACGATAAGTGGAACAATGTAGACTTTCAAATGGGGTTTTGTATCGTGAGGAGAAAAGTATCACGATGCATCCCGATATTTCAGAAGAATATCACAATATATCATGATAGGCCTATATCAAGTTTTTAAATTTACAGGTTTCTCCATAAGGAGATGGGTGAACATGACGAGCAATAAGCCTATAGTGTGACAAACATGAAGACGAAAAATTGAATTTCAATTATATTAAAATTTTCCTTGATATTTCGTCTAACATTAAAATATACTTTATGTAAAATCTCTACAATTTGCAAAAATCCCTCAAAGATTGAAATTATTTGTCTGTGAAATATTAGACACACACGAAAGCGGGCAAAAAGAGTCATTTTCTCATACTATAACACTATTTTTCGATATGAGTGGGTCTTCGCTCCACCTTTTTGAAAGTTAATCCTCAAAGTTTGCATAAAAATATTCATTTTTTGGTTACCAAAAATATGGAGCAATGACCCACTATACCTTAAAAATATACTTTTATGACATAACATTCGCATCTTTTCGAGAAATACTTGAAGTCCATTAAGTCAAGGGTCATATCACAAACATGATTTAAATGCCACTATTTGTCAGGACTTGTGTAGTCCAGTGGTTAGCGTGCTAGTCTTAATAAAAGATAAAAAAAAAAAAAAAAAAAAAAAAGCGTGCTAGTCTTGAAAGAAAATGATACTCAGGATTTTTATTGCTAGGGTTAGAACCCCACGAATACCACAATAATTTTTTTAAATAAAAGAATAAATTTTGCCGAGAAAATTTTCCTCAAAAAAGTTTTGTTTATCACAATTTCATAAATTTCAATAATGAGAACTTTACTCTAAATATTAAATTCACAAACTGAACATAATTTTTATACTTCTGAAGCTATAGGCTTTTTGCACGCTATGTTCGCCCATCTCCTTTTTGGGGGATTTTAAAAAAAAAACCCCGAAGATGTAGATTTCAGCATTTTCAAAAAATCCCATTTTAAATCTTTCGTATTTTCTGGAACACAAATAAATAAATAAATAAATAAATGAATAAATAAATAAATTAAAACTCCAAATTAGTAAAATCTTGATCATCAATTTAAAAAATTAATGAATTAAAAAATATTAACCTTTGGTACAGAGGTTTTTAGTAGTTAAATCTGTCTTCATTTACATTCATTAAGTTTACTACTTTCCCCCTCATTCTCGGCCATCTTCTGTTATTGGGGTCCAGTGGTTGGCTTCTTGCTGGTTATCTCTAAATAGACATGAAATCACATTGCTCTGATATCTAGTTATGTTAAATTTTAATTGCTTATACTACATGTAGGGAACCTTTAATTAGGATATCGTTAAGGACAGACGATACGTTTCTCAATCATATATAATTTTTTCTAAGATTTTGTCATTGAAGTATTGCTACTTAAACATGTTTACTTACAAAATATTGAGGTACCTTACCAGGCATTTGTGCAAGATACCAGAGGATGTTGTTTCCTATAAAATCCTTTTGGAACAAACTTAATTTGCCAATATCACATTTTTTAGTGTTTCAAATTTTTTAAGACAATTAGAAACAAGTTTAGAAATGAGAAGGTAATTAAAATTTTGAATATTTTCCATACAATACGAAGATATACAAAACAGATATTTGAGGAACGTGTCGTCTGACCTTAAATGCAGTAAGTAATTTAAGAATACAATATACGAATATGAACATTGAATAACCAGATCTAACTGACCTACTGATCGACATGCATTGTGTATTATAACTACATGTATACGTATTTAAATGCACGGTGTGTAATCTGACTTACACACAAAGGTTGATAAATTGATTTTTTCACGGAAAAGCTAGCCATAATGCATATTTTTAGAATCGATTCCGTGTATTTAGTTTATGCAATGTAATTTTTTGGAAACTGGCAATTCACAGTCTTCCTTCCTGTGTAAATGCATGCATGTTTAATTGTGTAAAGGATGCAAATCACCATCTTACTGCTAAAGGTTCACATCCCTCAGATTTAAGGTAAGACTATACCTTATTTGTTTATATTATATTAACTATATTTTTATTGCAGTTGGATTTAATTTTCTTTTTAGAAATTAATTTCATAAATATTGAATTTACGCCTACATTTACACTTTCCAGAAAAATGGCTATCACCTTTCCCAAAATTCTAAAGGATTATCTCGACGTTTTGGACGACTGGCAGAGAGAAGTCGACAATATTAGAAAAATGCACCATGAGATATGGAAAGAAAGCAGATTTTATCCTATTGTTAAACAACACAGAGCAGGAAGCCGCGTCGAAAAACAGTGTCGCATCCTTCCAATGGGAAAACAAACTGACGTAGATTATAAATTTGAAGTAACGGGAGTAACTGTTGAAATGGAAAAAAGATCAGGACTCTTCTGGAAAGTTAGCACGTTCTCAAAGGCGCATGGGAAAATATTTGTGACAAAAGAAACAAAAAACGAACTTATGAACAAGCCCCACTATTCTGAGATATTCACAGAAAACGTCTTCGTTTGGGACTCGTCGGAGGAAGCATATTTGTTGTTGCCAGGACCATTCAAAGAAAATGTCGTGGAGATGAGTAAATTTGAATATCAAAAGGATCTAACACCACCAGCGAACAGTCCCTCAGTCCCTGGGCAAGGAGCTGTGAATGAGTATGATATTGTACCGTGCTTAAGAATTTCTCAGTGGCCACTCAGTGTCCGCAAATGGACGGAAGACAATTGTTCTGACCAGAAAGCTTTAAACAAAACATTTAGGTCAAACATGGCAAAGACCGAGTCTTTATTTGTAGTCCCAGCAGGAAATCCGACATCTCAAGAAATAAATCTTGAGTTCAGACTTTCTTTCTCTCTTCTTGAGGTCAAATGCTTCGAGGAACTTTCCTCGTATGAAAGGAAACTGTATGGTTTGATAAAATACGTCTTTAAAACGAAATTAGAAGGCATAGATTTACTGGACTCTTACCATATTAAAAGTCTTTACTTCGACATGATTGATAACGAAAGATGGAGTTCAAAAGATTATTTACAAGATCTTACACATTTCTTTGAAAATGTAGAAACTGCTTGCAAGAATGAAAGGGTTAAGCATATCTTTATAGAAGATTGCAATATATTTCCTTTTCACAAGACAGACAGGGATGATAAAATAGAAATGACTGTTGAAGTTCTTGGTCGGAAATCTGATGAAATTGTTAAAGAACTACACATACTTGTCCGACGCGATTTACATGTAGCGGCAGGTGAAGATGAAACTTGGCTGTCACTGACCGAGAAGGAAATAGAAATACGACAAAAACAAATAAAAAAAGAAATCTACATCAACGGTTATTTAACAAGGTTGCTTAGTTTAATAACTTATTCTCTGTATGAAAATCAAGAACAAAATACAATTGATATTGCTATTCGTAGAGTCAAAAAATTGTTTTGTGACTATTCCCATGATGAACATATTCATCGGATGATTCCTATGGTAAACGCTTCACTGGAGCGACTGGGAACGAGTGATCTTATAGATAAGACCATGACTAGCTGTTCAGTAGCAGATGAGGTCAGTAGAAAAGTTCATCTTGCTTTTGAGGCATACTTGTATCAGGAATTTGAACAGGTCAATGAATATTTGAAAGACATTTTACCACACACCCCTACGAGTGAATCGACTTTTATAGGAGTTAGCATTACAAGCTATCACAAGAACTTTGAACTGGACACACCCCTTCACTACGCAATTTCTACCCTGGAGAAAAAGTCTAGGGAACACAAATGTCCCCGTTTTTATCTGGATCCTGTCTTTTTTGCCCATCATTTAAAAATCCAAGTCAGGCTAAAAACCGATGATAGAAAGCCAGAACAGACAGATATAAAGAAACTGGAGGAGCTGTCCGTCTGTCTGTCTGAGAGGGAGCCGTACCTGGGACGACTCTCCTACAGGTACTCCGCTGTATTACTCTTACAGGGATATCGACCGTTACTGGAACATTATCACCTTGCTTTCAAAGCAATCGACAGAGAAAACCTTGATGGCTTTAATCAAAGACTATATGCCACAAACTTTGATCTGCGTTAACTGAAGAGTTTGACTATTCGTATGGCATTCTTTATTTTTAATAAAATACATACATATTTTATTTTTTTTAATTGGATATATTTCTTTTCATATTTTCCTTATTTTATTCAAAGAGAAATAAATGAATTTTATTTCTATGGTTTTTTATTTTCAATTCTTGTACCCAAACATGCGCTATAAATAGATCAACGTAACAGGAATATTTTAGAATTTAAATAGAACGAACAGAAGATTGGAATTAAAGACTGGATTTCCAGCGCTGTAAATACATATCATTGCCAAATACACCGTATCTGAAAAATTTCCAAGAATGATAATTTTCAATTAAATATTTAAATACAAGTCGATCTACTGAATTGGGAGGCGTTCAAATACACTGCATACTTGGTGCAATGAGTACTTCAGGTAGAAAACCAGGATGATTTTTTTCTAAAATAAGATATATACTTACCATAATCAAGCAATTTAAAGCATTTTTTTAAAAAATGGAATATTTGATTTGAGTATTCTTATCTAGTTAACGTCCTTTTTAAATTTCCCGTTCTTTAAAAAACCATCTTAAATTTATTATTGTGCTATCATCAAAGTTATGTAATACAGGACAAAAGGACATTTTAGACACACTTAAGATTTAAAGAGCCCTTAAAAATTGTTTTCCAAAATTTAATACTGGGCTTGTTTAATAACTGCGTTTTTATGAGGCGTTGCTTTTTTATGCTGTTAATTAATTATATTGCAAAGTACTCTCCTTCGGTGTTATAAAAAATGAAAAAAAGCTTTTGAAGTCTGAATTGAAGGAAATGGACCATGTAGTTGATAAATTGATCTATTGATTGTAGGACCAGCATTTGAATAGTACATGCCATCTATCTTTCAGACACGTGTGAAGAATACGAGGTAAACTCGATACTAAAAATATACTTAGAAACTCTGGATTCCCGACAACGTATGGTAGAGGGGATTCGACTTTATCACCATAATGTTTGGGCCAAGTATAAAAATCGCAATTCTCTCATAATTCAGCATCGATCTGGAAGTAGGGTTGAAAAACAAACAAGAATTTGTCCTAATGACACTCACTCTGATATTGACTTTATGTTAGAGGTCGACGGTATCGCAGTTTCTGTCCAAGCGGATGAAAATTTATTCTTTCAACCGACATCAAGTGATGGCTATTACGGACGAGTTATGATCAGTAGTTACTTCAAAAAATTTCTGATGATGGACGCAAAATTAAACGCCATATTCAGCAATTTCTGCTTTAAACCAGATAAATTTTCAAATAAATCAGTACTGGTACCTAAAATATTCAAGACAAACGTGTTGCGTGTCAGTGAGTTTGAGTATACACAAAGTAACCTACAATCTAGTTCTAGTCCATCAGTACCTGGAAAAGGCGTCGTGAATGACTATGATGTTGTCCCGTGTCTGAAGCTAAAGCAATGGCCAAACGAAACACGGTCATGGATTCAAAGAGGAAAACATCAAACAGTGTTCGATTTTTCATGGAGGCAAAAAGTATATCATGAAGCTCCTATTTTCCTTGTTGCAACAGGAGAACCGAATTCTTATTTTCAACATGAGCAATTTAGGGTTTCATTTTCAATGATTGAAATCGAGTGCTTCAAGAAACTGCCAGACCCCGCAAGACGTCTCTTTGGTTTAGCAAAGTATATATTTAGCTGCCTTCTTTCCTCTGCCGAGCTTCTTTCGTGGTTTCATGTGAAGTATTTATTGTTTTGGATGGTTGAGGAAGAGAACGATACTTATTGGGAAGAAACGTTGCCTCTCTCTTTTATTTTGCGACTAGTCGACAATATCCGCCGATCAGTTCGTGAGGGAACAATCAAACATTTCTTCATGGACGAGTGTAATATTTTCCCTGTAAACAAAAGAACATATGAGAGAGAATGTTTCTACGAACGTATTCTGTCGGATAAACAGATAATAATAGACTGTGTCGAAAATCTTCTTCAGATCGAAAAGAAGGGTTCCTTCTTTGACCTCTCAGCTCCCATAACAAATGTAAAAGCAGAAAAAAGTTCATTAAAGAGTTATATTGAGGGATATTTGACAAGGCTTTTAAGTGTGATAGTCTATGTTTGGCTGGAGTCCCATGTCGATCAGAGGCATAGCCATGAATTTAGAGAGGAAATACTAAGGGACTGCAGAGAGGAAGAATGCTTGGCCAAATTAGTGCCACTAGTGGAATTATATCTTTTTGGTATTACCACAGACAACGATAGTTTCAATTATTGGAGCCACTATGCTTTTATGTCTTACATGGGCGGTGATATTGAAAAGAGTTCAATTTTGTGTTCCCAAAACAGACATTGCACGGATGAGGAGGAGTATATAATAGGGGTCTCTATTACGAAGCACCACAGAAACTCGAAATTAGACGCTCCACTTCTCCACGCTCTCAATGAACTAGAGCGTCAGTCTGGGACATGTCCTCGTGTATGCATACATCCAACGTTTTTATCGAATCACATTCTTGTCCAGAGCGAATTGAGAAAGCATACGATATGTGCAAAACGTTTGAAGAAAACCTTTTGTAATTTGGAGGACGTTAGCAAGACCCTTTGTCAAAGAACACCATATCCTGGTTCCTTGTCGTACAAGTCCGTGGCTATGCTTATCCTCCAAGGTTATAACGAATACTTCAAAGACAAACAGATAGACATCAAATCAGAATACCTGGAGATTTATAAAGGATCCAATAATCATCTGACCACAACAGCTTTGTAGTTTTGATCTCCCTTAAATAAACATTACCAAAATGTATTTTGTAAAGTCTTAAAAATGTTTATATACATCATAATTATACCATGCATTGTCTAAATTTTTATTGTTTTTGCACGGTTCCGCCTACTTAGGTACCTGTCAATCGTTATAAAAATTGAAAATGCAACCATGGTCAAATGTATGTGCATTGATAGCCAGATAGCATGATCTCTCTAGAAGAGACATTTAATTTACTGGTTGCTATTTGAAATCTGGACAGTGTTTCCTGACATAGCCCAGTGCAGAGGAAGCATGAAATATGGAGATAACGAAATGAAATCAAGCTCAAAAGTCCATTTGAACAATACAGATAGGGAGCAGAGCAAACACGGACCTCTAAAACATCAGAGATAGGAATAGATGACATGGTAAAGTAAAATCCCCTGTCGACCGGTCACACCCGCCGTGTGCTCCTTGTCATGATCGGACAAACAGAAAATCCGTATACAATTCAGTGTGAAAATAATGGCCAAATAATTTGTAAGAAAAACGTCAGTCAATATTCGACCTAACTATAGAGTGTATTTGTTAACAAGGTCATCGATCACAGACTTTGCGAAATGCTGACTTTCAATGGGACTTCTGATATCCTTGTATCATCAAGTTATTTGTCAATAGCATGTCTTATTTTAGAAATTGTTCGTACATTTAGCATGCCCTTGTCGCATATCGAATTAACTGGGAGACATATTTTCCGTGTACAGGTGATAATGGTATATTGCTACATAAATTAAGAAAATTGACGATAGAAAAGTTGAAGTCATCACGTTTATCATGAAGTTTTGTTGTTAGTTTGCCATTATTGTCTTTTTCTAGAAAATATTCAGATATAAAACAGATGTGTCAGATTCTTTGGTTTCCTTTATTTTGAGCCGAAAGGGGTATATCGAATCAATCAAAATGAATATTGTTAATTCATGAAACTTCCTCGATTTATCTAAATGTCGATTTTGAAGACGTCTTCTTTTTGAATAAATCCTGTTTCATATGAATACCAAAATAGGTCAACCAATAACGGCACACAATTCGTACTTGTATTTCTACAGATTGTTGGAAGACTTGATCTCCATAAACTACATAGATATTGTCAATCAGAAACTCCAGCTTCTTTTTAATGTCAACATCGGAGTACTTTGTGTACAATCGAAGTGTTTTTGTAACAAATTTTGCATATGACCGACGATAAGGTAAGCAAATTTACGAGTTCCATTTTTATTGAATTTTGATTTATCGTCGGGAATGGTTTTATAAAGTATGGAAAAGTCGTACGTTTTGATGTTATTGATTTTGGTAATATTTTTTTGATTTCAAATTTTCTAAAAGATCCTTGGAGTTTTTAATTATCAACATCTGATTAACACCACTTCTCGAATATGTTGTTGTACAGTACTCCTGAAGTTTCTCCTTCACTGCTGTTGATAATTTTAGTGAGGAGTAAAGAAAGAGGCTTGGTAGAACATTTACTGGAACCCGCTATGTACCTTGTTTTTTAAGAATTTTTATGTAGTTTAAAAATCCAGTATACGTATGGTAATTCAAATTCAATTTGATTGTTGTGAATATTAAAAATATTAAAAACTGACAATATGATTTTGAATAATTCCGTGCACAGGTGGAACTATGAGTATTAGTTGGAATACCACTTTCAGAACTAGATCCAAGTTCCTTTAAATACAATTAAAATAATGAGCCTTACAATCAAAGATGATGTTGTTACCTGTTTTTTCAGCTGGGACCAGTACAATGAACTTAGGTGAAGGAAACGAACAGTGATGATCTAAAAAAAAATCTATAAAAATACAAATCTGTGAAGAGACCATAAAACACGGACCCCTGGAAATTTCAGAGGTGGGATTGAATTTATCGTCTGACCTAATTCTTTTTTCACTTCTGAATTCCTGGAATTATTGAAGGCAGAAGGACAGATTGCTTTCATATTGCCCCTCAACATCTTAATGCGAAATTTCAACATCCATCTTACTTTTACTTTTAAAAGCATTCGGACACAGTATCAAGGTCTTTTTCATGTTTGGCCCATCGCGTGGCGTAATCTTCCACAGAATTCATAATATTTAGTTGAAAGATCGGGGTTCCCTAAATTTTGGCCATTTTAAAATTAATGATTTAAGGTCCTCATTATTATCTATATTCACGTTACCAGTAATGACGTGTCCAGTGTTTGTAAGAATATGAACACGTATGAGGATTATGTTTAAGGTGTTTGATATTTAGGTATTGTAGTTGTTTTGTAATTACAAAGTTTGGAACCAATAGTCGATGAATATTTGTAAAAAATACATAGTGTGTCATTGCTACCATATGGAAAAGCCATGCCTAGTTTTCTAATCCTGTGTACTTGTCTACAGAAAGGTTTACTGAGTTTTCAATGATGGGCTATTAGTGTGATGGTAGATTATTTTTTCTATAATTCTTATTTTCATTGACAACATAGATCAGGTAAATTAAAATGCTTGAAGAGTTGTGATGGGCCCTGTTGTTATTTTGAAATCTATGCCCCGATGTTCTTTTATTAAGTGAACCTTGGTTGAAACAGGTAATGACTTCCCTATGATTGTATAATATTCTATATATATATAGTTAAGAAATGAAGTTTTGTTCGCTTTAAGTGGTTTTTCTTTAAATAGCTACCCAAGTTATACTGTATAACCTGGGTTGGGACAGTATACGCCTTTAAAACCGCGAAGCGGTTTATAAAAATTGTAAACTGTTCCAACCCAGGTTATACAAGTATAGCTTGTGAAGCTATTAAATTTATTCCTTATTATTTAATTTTACATCATAAAGAGTAGAAAATAAGACAATTCCACCTTCAAAAATGCCTTCAAATTGGTCATATTTTAAAAGTAACGTCAAGCGGATTGATACGTTTTTGACGTAAGTCATTGTGACGTAGGAAGCACAGGTTATGCGATATAAACTAATTTTCTTATCAAATGACGCGTTACAACTTAAATTAAGTCATTCGATCATAAATAGAAAATGCACTTTACATACAGATTGTCATTTTTTTTTCATATTCTCACTATTACGTGTGCACAGCGTTATAAATATGCCACGAGTCAATGTAATAGTTTGATATTCAATCTAAGGATCAAGAAAGGGCAGTCCAATGATGGATATTCCTAAATCATAATTTAAAGTGAAACTTAAACCGTGCAAATTATTTGAAACAGTTCCAAGATTCTGTTAATAATTTTCTGTTCCGTTTACGATTGATTTTTAAGTCAGAAAATAAGTCTTAGTCGGAGAAAGTTCTTAAGAGCTATGTTTTTTGCTTCCAAAACCTAGCTTTCAATAAAGATAATTTAGTGATAATATAGTAATATTTAGGAACTAGGAAGGCGTACACATCTTTCACAAACTTAAGCTAATTTATAATCGAAGGTTTGAGAAAAATATCCAAATCAATAAATAATATCAATAAAATATGAAGGTGTTAGCAGTGTTTACATTTAAAAGCGGGCCAGTACATGTCTAATCCGACGCAAAACGACGTTTATGTTTCTTTTGGAGATTCATCGGCAATTGTTAACAATCTTTTCAATCCTTAATTGAAGGACATAAAAAATTCCTTCAAAGGCTGGAAATACTTTATATTTGCATCAGGTTTCTTATCCATTTAATGCAAATACAGTACTTCCACTTCCGGTTAAAAACCATCCTTGTCTTACATGTTGTTTCATATCAGGATAGAGTTCTAATGTTGACTCGCACAAATCGTTGGCGACATAGGCATCGAACGTTTCTAGGAACTCCCTAGACGATATTGTTTTTAATTCTTCATACTTTTCTAAAGAAAGTTCTTTATAATGCTTTTCTCGGAAATTACGGTATACTTGACCGGTGTTACATTTTATGTTGGGGGTATTATACTTAAGGTCCAATGCTTTTTCATTGATTGGTTCAACTTTTTCACCAATACCCATAACATTTGCACAATCAACATCGTAGAGAAAAAAGGGAACATCAGCACCAATAGTTTCACCTATCTGACACAGTTCGTCTGTACTAAGCCCCAGTCTACAGGACTCATTTGCCATCTGTAGAAATGTAGCGGCATTTGATGAGCCACCTCCAAGACCACCAAACTCTGGAATCTTCTTGTCAACCACCACTTTGAATTTACGGAAAAACTCCTTGATCTGGTCACATTTTAGGTTTCTTTCTAGCAAAGATAGGTAAGATCTGTAAATTGTGTTTTCTTCTCGAGTGCATGAAAAGTTTCCCTCTAGAACAAAATCACTCTGAACACTTGAAATAAATTTAACTTCATCGTAAAGATTTTCAAGCCGCATAAATCTCGATAGGAATTCATGATATTCTCCGCGTTTCCTTGTCACCTTCAAAAATATGTTTACTTTCGCAAAACTTTTATTCGATTTTACCATGAGACTGAAATAGTTAGGTTCTGATACTTTGTTGCTTGACATATACTGCAGTAATCTATTTCTGATTTATTTGAACCAGCTTTTAAACTTATTGGCATGCACATGAACGCCTCTTTACAATTTATGCGGAAACAGCGCTGGCTTATGTGGATCTATATATAGATATAACTGGTTGTTTTCGGAAAGTCCACTTAAGAGTTCAGTGCTTTAACAGTTTTTGAGCATAAGCCAAAAAGATTTTTAAATAAGTATTCTGTTCTTTATTACTTTTATAATTTGTTTTAATATTTACTGATAGCTGGAAATTAAAATGCACAAGCCACTGAGCTAGCAATTTAAAAAAAAAATAAATTAATAATCGTCCCTTTACTTAATTATTTACGTTAATGTAACAGTATCAGTCCAAGGCTGTAATACTTCCAATGTGTGTAAACATATTACAAGCGAGGGAAATTTCAAAAGGAATCTAAATAATGAATCATAGTATAAAGGAAGTTATTACGTATATTTGTAATATTCTCGGAGTATATTGATTAAGTATTTCAATGTCCTTTACTTGAAAATATATACAATTTTTCAAAGGATTATAAAACAATAAAATACAACGGACAAACGAACAGAGAATTAAAAGAAAGCAAAATTAAAGCAAAGGTGGAAAATGAAACAAAAAAAGAGAATGTTCCTGAAAGGCAGAGACTGTAAATGTTTTCACAAGCAGAATGAGCTAATGTTGAAGATAGGACTATTCTGCTGTCTCTCCTACCACCTAATGGTAGACGGTTGCCATGGATATTCTTTGAGCCCTGATAGCGTATGATCCTTGACCTGTCAAATTCTTACATTATGTCTTTATTTCTTTCATCTTCATTTTTCGAGATGATTTAAGCCACCCTCGTATGTAAGTATCCAAAAAGATTTCATCATATCTGAACATTATTGTTTCTCCTTTCTAGATTATCTTCACTACCAGGAATTATCAAATAATTTTTTCATACTATAATAAATGGGAATTCAAGATTAAAATTGTTATTTACTTAATACTGATACCCCTTTTTGGGCATAGACCACCAACAGCATTCCTCTTGCTTTGATCCCTTTGCTGGGTTTTCTTCTTCAGGATCTATTCAGGTGAACACTGGTTGTTTCTTCCTCCAGGCATTCTTTGGTCGGTCTCTCTTTCTTTTCAGGTGAACCCTAGTTGTTTATTCCTTCCTCCAGACATTTCTTGGTCGGCCTCCTTTTCTTTTCAGGTGAACTCTAGTTGTCTTTTCCTTTCTCCAGACATTCCTTGGTCGGCCTCCTTTTCTTTTCAGGTGAACTCTAGTTGTTTATTCCTTCCTTCAGACATTCTTAAGTCTCTTATTGCGCACAAAAAAGTGCGCTGTTTCTCGATTTACTTCTCCGTGTATTTAAGTTACCATCTCAAAATATTACAAACCGTGTATTCCTTACATATTTCTTCACTACTTCCAGAATATAGCATTTCCCAAAACCGTGGTAAGTAGCCTTCCTGGGCCTGAAATTGAGACCATCGAAAATTTCGCCTATTTATACTGCCATCTTGAGCGGCAAGACAATTCGGTCCAACGCGCTTCGTTCATGACTTGCACATACAATATTGTTGTGGAAGTAGTAAAAGAATATTTAAGGAGAACTCGGTTAGTAATATTTATATATATATATATATATACTGAGAAATAAATCGGGAAACAGCGCTCTTTATGTGCGCAATAAATAAACACTTTTTTCAATGGGTGGCACTGTAGCTCTCTGGTCGTCCATCCCAATTTTTTTTTCAGACCAGCGAGCTACAGATCTGCAGCTATAATAATATATGTTTCATTTTATATGCCTAAAACATAAGAAAAGATTTAAGGAACATTTATTCATATCCAAGAATATTTTAAAATGTGGTGATGGTTTAAAGCCCGATATCAATGAAAAATATCGTATACCCCACTTATTTTAAGAGCTGGAATTAGGGGTAATTAACTATTTAACACTGGCATTAAAATTATCAGTCAATTATCATTGAACTGTTCTTTGCATTCAACAAAGATTTTACGGCCAAAATGCCATTAGTATTGAATTAAATGGGTGTAAAATGTAGGCGGGAATCGAAAGTTAGCGTGTGTAGTTCTTTTAAGCAATCACGAGTTTCATTCGAATTTTAAGCTAATTTTGAAATGTCGAGTCTTGAATTTTTTTGTTTATGAGACAATTCTTTATAACATGTTTATGAGCATGTTTTTAATATATGTTGATGATACTTATAAGTTTTTACAAAAAATTCTATGCACTCTATTTTATGGTTATTGCTCTGCCTCCGTGAAAATAAACTAAGAACAGACTTAATCCAAATTTATATCCTGAATATCTTGTTTTCTCGAATATCTTGTTTTCTCATTAGGATACATGTTTAAAGAGTTGCATATTTGTACAACACATAAAAAACTATTTTATTTTCAAAATTCCTTCAAAATTTATACTTATATGAATTTTCAACTCTGTTGTCAGCTTATGGTCTTCATGCTGGGTCCCCCGGCGGTGAAAAATCTTTTTTTTTTCAATTATTTTTTTTTTAATTTCAAGTTCCGTTTTTCCTACGTTTTAGATTTAAGCAGTAAATAACTTTACGCTGCTTTATGAAACAAGAGAGAACTGATCTCACGCAATAAAAAGGTTGTATGTATAAACAAAAGACAATTGATCTTTGCCATTCTTGAGAATCGTGCAGCAACCGTTACCTTTTACATTCCTTAGATTCTGAAATACATTGAAATATTTTACAATAAGAAATTCTAGTCATGTTTAAAAAACCAGTTTTTTCTCAATGGGTTATGCCAGATAAAGCTCAATCTCTCTCCATGTACATGTATTAAAATAAAAGAAAGTGTAATCAAACATTCTACATATATGACATACCTTTGGATCCTACAACAGGGGAATAAATTTCATGTTTTGTCAAACAAAAAAAGAATATTATCGATATTATATAATGCACTCAATTGGTCTGCCAAGTGCTCAAAAAAAGAATTCATAGATATAAATTGCTTTCGTAACTTTATCTTTGCCTAAATTAAGGGCTTGAAACCTAGATTTAGCATGTAAGAAATAAATAGAAGTAACTTAAAACAAACCTTGATTAAAAATTCACTATACTGAAATGGAAAGTCGGAGGATCCCGTCCTCAAAGATCAGGATTTGGAAAGGGACATTGGACTTTCGAGGAAAGTATACATTAAATAGAAATTTATAGGATAAATAAATCATCATGATCAGGTCACATCACTGATATATAGTAAATTTTAAATTTACCAGGTGACAGTAAATACAAAATTTACAATATGACAGTGTATATTGTATTCACTGCCACCCGGTAAATTTAAAGTTTACAGTATTAATATGACAGAATTCTGAGACGATTTAGGAAGTTAAATATAAGCACTGAGTGAGAAGAGATGGAAGAAAACGGACTCATAATCGGATAACAAACAGAAAGGATAGAAAGTAAATTTACGCTGTAATTAAAAGAATGAAAGGCAATGAAGTAATATCCTGAGTAGTGAAGGTAATTGCAAGAGGAAAAGGAGAGAACAATGAGCCAATTAACCGAGATGAAAGTAAGAATTAGAAACAAACTCCACAAAAGAACTAAAGTTGCAAACATTTTAAAAGCTATGAAGTTTTCTGAAAGTAAATATGAAAGGAAACCTTCATAAATTGAAACATCTTGAAGATATAAAGAAGATATACGTATATAGAAGAGCTGAATTTTGAAGAATTTCGTTGTACATCTGAAAGAACTAAAAGAAACAGCTACTCAGAATTCAGAGAGAGTCTACACCAAAGGTTAGGTGTACTCATAAGCTGCATGTAACAAACGAAATTTATCCTTTGAGGGAAAAAAACCCTTTTAATTGTAAATGTTGGTCAGTATCCTATGGGGAGCCCCTCGATTTGTAATTTTATATACCCGTGTGCTCGTATTCGAGTAGTATCCGGGAAAGTTGCAGCCACGATAAATCCTGTTTGGCTTGTCTGCAGTAGCCGGGGATGGGTGCCCTGAAGTACATCTGGTATTTACGGGAAGTTTATCAGTACAGTTAGAATCTACACCTATTTAGTATGTTTGTCCTTTTCACTATTTTTCCAGGGTCTTATTTCCTCGGGGGTTCGCCCCGTTTTATCGACACAGGTCATGGAAGGGGTACTTGTTTTCCTTTTGCTGATACAATAGCCAGTCCAGTGTGAAAGGGCGTCGGTTTGAATCAACAGCACGGCACCTCGAGAGCAGCATACAGTTAAAAATTATGTGTTTGTATTGTCTTTCGAGAAAGAATTGAACACTTTTCACTGAAAATATATTGTTTAAATCCAAGGGAAAATCCTTTAATCATCGTGAAAGTTTGGAAAACAGTGAATTGTTTGCTGTTTGTGAATTTATCTTCAATTTTATTTGTGAAAGATCATTGGGACAAAGGAAATTCTACATAGAGATTCTGAATTTTGTAAGTGCAGTAACACAATAGTCAAACGTGATGACACTTTCCGGGACTGTCAGCATATAGACTTTGCTGTAAAAATTTACTTTTGTTTATTAAATTTTGTTAAAATTCAGTTATCGTTGTTTCCTTGATTTATTCAGGTTCTAAAAGGTGTATAACTCACATCTCAACACTGCAGTAAAGACATTGATTGGTAAATGCTGTTAGGATATGGCTCTGTAATAATTATATATACTTTGTATTTACTTAAGCATATTCACAAACAGATGCAATCCAGAACATTAAAAACAATGCCTTAGCACTGACAGAGAACAGAGGTCAATATTGATCATAAAGAGTTTCTTAATATTTAGAAACAAATCTCATTAACTAGGTGTAGAATATCCCGATTCTGTTGCT